AGCACTGTCGAGAGCCTCGGTGGCTGTGACTCCGGGCCACTGAGCGGTCACCAGGAATGGCTGTGTGGAGCCTGTGCCTGGACGCCCAGGAGGAGCAGTCGTGTCGTCTGGCCACTCAGCGTTCATCCCAGTGTCGTGAAGTGTGCCGTCCTGAGCCGAGCTGCTCGGCCCTGAAGGGCTGTGTGGTGCCCCGTCTCCCTCCCTCTGCCACCTCTGTTGGATGGGGTCTGGGCTGCCTGACGCAGGTGTCCCGCATGCCCCGTGTCAGGCAGATGCGGGCTGCCCCTGCTCCGCGAGCCACACGTCACAGCCAGTTGTCGCTGCCCCTGTGGCCACAGCCCCCCGCCTTGTAACTCCTCAGAAGTCCCGCTAGCTGAGAGCTATGGGTTCGGGCCCCCTGCCTGCCCTGACGGTGTCCACCTCCCAGGGCGCGATATGGAAGGTGCTCTGTTGCTTTCCCGTGAACCACGCCGGGATGGGGAAACCATGCCTTTCCTAACGTGCTACTAACAGCAAGGACACAGACCCTCTGAGGGGGTGTGCTGCCCGCTGGGACCAGGGCTCATACCTGTGACGTTTGTGCCCTCAGCACGGTGCAGTGCGGGGCGTGTCCTCCTTTCGTAAGTGAGGCCGAGTGTGGGCGGAGGGCAGGACCGCGCCTGATGTCAGCTCCTGGCCAGTGAGGGCAGAGCCACTCAGAGCTTTGGTCCTGAGGTGCTCATCTCCCAGTGAGGGCAGAGCCACTCAGAGCTTTGGTCTTGAGGTGCTCATCTCTCCCCAATGTGTTTCAGATCCTCTGGACCACGAGCCTGCCGTGTCTCCACTGCTCCCTCGAAAAGAGCGAGGGCCCTCGGACGGCGGCCTGAACGAGGATGAGCGCCTGCTGCCCAAGGACAAGAAGACCAACCTGTTCAGCGCCCTGATCAAGAAGAAGAAGAAGACGGCCCCCGCGCCGCCCAAGCGCAGCAGCTCCTTCCGCGAGATGGACGGCCAGCCAGAGCGCCGGGGGCCTGGCGAGGAAGAGGGCCGAGAGGTCAACAATGGGGCGCTGGTCCTCACTCCTGCAGACACGGCTGAGCCAGCCAAGGGCCCCAAGTCCAGCAATGGGGCTGTGGTCCCCAACGGCGCCTTCCGGGAGTCAGGGGGCTCGGGCTTCCGGTCGCCCCACCTGTGGAAAAAGTCCAGCACGCTGACCAGCAGCCGTCTAGCAGCCAGCGAGGAGGAGCAGGGCGGCAGTGCCAGCAAGCGCTTCTTGCGGTCCTGCTCAGCCTCCTGCGTGCCCCACGGAGCCAAGGACGCCGAGTGGCGGTCGGTCACGCTGCCCCGTGACTTGCAGTCCACTGGAAGGCAGTTCGACTCGTCCACGTTCGGGGGGCACAAGAGCGAGAAGCCAGCTCTTCCTCGGAAGAGGGCAAGTGAGAACAGATCTGACCAGGCAGCTAGAGGCACGGGGACGCCCCCACCTAGGCTGCTGAAGAAGAACGAAGAGGCTGCGGACGAGGTCTTCAAGGATGCCACGGAGTCCAGCCCGGGCTCCAGCCCGCCCAGCCTGACTCCCAAGCTCCTCCGTCGGCAGGTCATGGTACCTCCTTCCTCCAGCCTCCCCCACAAGGATGAGGCCGGGAAGGGCAGTGCTTTAGGGACCCCTGCTGCAGCTGAGCCAGTGCCCCCCACCAGCAGGGTGGGGTCAGGCATTCCCGGAGGTACCAGCAAGGCCCCAACCGAGGAACCCAGAGGGAGGAGGCACAAGCATGCCTCTGAGTCTCCAGGGAGAGACAAGGGCAAACTGGCCAAGCTCAAACCCGCCCCGC